AAAATAATAATAATAATAATAAATAAAAATAAAAATCACACACTCAAATTTTTTTAATAATATTAGAAAATTCAAAATTAAGATTAATCTAATCGCTAGTGGTTCAACGGATCACAAATCTCACGGTTCGGATCACATTACAGTTTTTGACCCACGGATCGGATCATTTCGATTCAATTCGGTGTTCGCGCGCACGCGGTGTTCGGTGTTTCATGTGTGTGCGGCTGTGCGCGTAGAGAACAGCGCGCGAGTAACGAATCGTGTTCCCTTTCGCCTTTTCTCTCTGGGATTGTTTAAAATTCGCTTGCTTGTGTAAATACGAACAAATGATAAACTTATACTCTATTATGGTTAAATTTTGCAATTAATCAGCGGATCACATGCGTGCCGAACCGTGGGGCTTGGTCCGTACGGATCACGGATCAACTACGATCCGTTTAACCACGACTAATCGCACACAGAAAAATGAATGAGATTAAATGTTAATTAAATATTTTCAAAGTCCGTATTAAAAGTAACGAGTGTTAAAAAGAACACAGTATCATATCTCACCCCAAAATAAAAAGAAAAAATAAATAAATTACATTTAGCACCATTAAGATTTTTTTTCATTTTGCATAAAATTAAGGATATTTTCTCCCCAATCCCCCATCCTCATAATGAGATACCAAATGTGAACCATGTGCAATGTGAACAAAAAATATAATTTTACTAATAATCTGTCATTTTTAACGTACAGTATTTTTCATACTGTGGCAGTATTTGTTTATTTAAAAAAAATAATAATAATACATATTGTTTGCATCTTTAATGCACCCAAAGTATGCTTAGTTTTCTTTCTGCAATTTTTTTTTATTATTATTTAAAATAATTACAAATTTAAAACTTTATTTAAAATAATTTAAAATTAAATATTTGTAATCAAATGTTTAAATTCAATTCAATTTTTGCTTGTGATGTGAAATGTGGCCTGGACATGTCTTGGTGTGATTCACCCTCAGGCTCCTGTTTTTTTCAGGCTTCCTGCTTTAAGTGGGCTGTTACTAAGTTGATATCAACAGACCTCCATTCATCCACCACCTCCGCTAAGGATGCAGAAAGCTTGGCATTAATTCATGACACCTTATACCAGGGACCCTCAAATCTGGCCCACGAGATCCACTTTCCTGCAGAGTTTAGCTCTAACCCTAATCAAACACACCTGACCATGCTAATCAATGTCTTCAGGATCATTAGGAAATCACAGGTAGGTGAGTTTGATCAGGGTTGGAGCTAAACTCTGCAGCGCATTGGCCCTCCAGGGCAAGATTTGAGGAACCCTGCCTTATAAGGCTCCAACTGAAGGCATCTCTGGCTAGTGCTGAAGTTCTGTCTCTATTTCTCATTTAGAAGGGGTCTTTAGTGTCAATGAGAAAGAGCAGGGGTGATACGTGCCCTTGAATGTGCTGACTTTGTTGCTGGAGGTTCACACAGAAATCAGTGATACTTGCCTTTGCTGATTCACTCCTCACTGGCTCACAAAGCTCAATGAGTCACGGAGGGTCAAATTCATCTCTCAAATGAGCTTCTACACTCTAAAAAATGCTGGGTTAAATACAACCCAGTGCTGGGTAATAAGGGAGCTTCACTGGCACCCAACCGCTCTGAACTTTAGAAGAGTTTTAAAGTCTACATGAAACAACATTTGCAACCCATTTTACTTCCATAATGTGACATTTCTAAAAGTTCAAGTTATATTTTTTTATTTGGAATACTGTGCAATAATAAATTGTTAACAATAATAAGAAAGAAAGAGTGAATTTCAATTTCATGTTGATTATAATTTCCATAATGCAACAGCATATACAATAATGAAAAAATGCTTATTAAGGCTTATAATCGTATGGGGTGTTTTGATGAGAGTAATGAATGTGAAGGGCCAGATGCACTTTTGGCAAAGCGAGAAGGGGTGATATGCAGTTTTAACTGTGAGCACATGTTTGGCAAACTCATGACAATCTGTCCTCAACAACATGCATTTACTGGTATGCAGCACACACATTTCTCATTAATGTACCTTAGCTGCTGTGAGCAATAACTGCAGAAAACCACTGAAGGCCTTCTGTTTAAATTACAACACAATTACAGAGTAACACCGACAATATATATTTTAGAAAATAAAAAGTGTTGTCATGTCGCATTAGACATAAACAACGGACACACTGGTCCACTAATAAGAACTAAATTTCACATCATATGTCATGTTGGTTGTAATGATCAGTTAATAAATTAAGCTCTAATTGAATTAAAAAGTACCTTACAAAACGTAATACATTTTAAAAATTTATTATTAATAAATTAACACATTTGTTCTTGATTTAATAAGTTAAATACCCAAACATAAATTATATTAATCAATTTTTAAAAAATAAAAATGTATTCCAATTAAAAATAATAATAAATCACGTAAAATAATCATAATAAAATAATAGAATACACATTATTAATATTTAAAGAAATTGTTTTAAATCTGCTCAGTGTTGTTACTGTTAAATACAGCTGAAATTAAACAAAGTCATTATATTATTATTATAATATTTGTAAAAGAAAAAAAATGCCTTGGCAACTAATGGACATAAAGTAATTCATTAAAATGAATTACTAAAACTGAAATTAAAATACAGCTAAATAGAGAAATACTAAGAAAAATAAGCAAAGCACAAAACACAATTACTTTGACAAAATTACAAATTAAAACATAATCTAAAATTAAAAATTAAAACTGAAAATATAACAATAAAAGCTCATTCAAATTAATAATAAATACTACAGTAGTATATAAATAATAAAATTGCACTGATTATGACTAGTCTCAACTATTTTAAATATTAAAATAATAATAATTTATTTTGTAAGCATTTAATTAATACTGTATTTCATTATTTACATATTTGTTTACATATTATTCTTTACAGTTATATAACACTTTCAAAGATTTTAAGTTCTTCTCTGAACTCACCATCCTCAGGTTCAGAAGGCCTTTCGTAGGACTTGTCGATGGCGTAGCGGAAGCTGAGGTTGCAGCCTCGGCCCCTCACCATGTGTGCGCGTGGACGATGGAAGGGCACCTCGTCCTTACTGACCTCCTCCATCGCTGTCTGGAGACTCTCCAGAGAACTGGACTTCTGCAGACCTAACCTGGGTCCCAGCGCCGTCCCGTAAGAAGAGAGGGGTTCTGACACGGGGAGACGGAGGGGATGTCAGTGATGGGAGGATGGAGGATGGTAATGAAAGGTGGAGTGGAGGGTGAAAATTCAAAGATGAGGTCAAGATTAGAAACATAACATATAGTGCCCTATCAACAGGGTGGTTGTAAGTTGTGAACTGAAAATGCAACAGTTGTGCGGTGAGCTGAGCTGAAAGTCTAATGGATTTGGACGCATTCAAAGAACAGACGGAGATGAAATATGTAAAGATGGCTGTGGGATGGAGGACTTGAGAAGGGTGGATGATGAAACCTCAAGGTGAGGGTGCAAGAGCATCACAGAATAAATGAGGTGTTGCAAACGCGTACCAGATGTGCAGGAATATTAAACAGAAAAGTAGTAGTAGTAGTAGTAGTAGTAGTGCAGGGCAGAGGAGCATTAAATGAAGTACTAAGAGATGAAAACCAACTATGAAGCCGTAAACAATGCAAACGACTGAGAACAATGACACCAGGAGCAGGAGGAGAAGGTGAGGGATTGCAACAAGCACAAACAAGAAAATAAAATGGAGGAATAGCACAAATCCAAGGGCTCCAAACACTGAAAGGGCAAAAGAAAGTTGGGGAAAAGAAGAACAGAGAAATGCTTGGTGCATGAGAGGTAAAAAGAGGCATGCAGGAAAGAGCACATCATGCTTTCAAGGGATACTTCAGCCAAAAACGAAAATTCTATCATCATTTATTCACTCTCATGTCGTTCCGAACATGAATTACTTTTTCTTGCGTGAAACTCAAATGGAGAAGTTTTAAAATCTCCCCTTTTATGTTCCACAGAAGAAAGAAAGTAATTTGGGTTTGGAACGACATGAGGGTGAGTAAACGATGACAGAGTTTTCATGTTTGGCTCAAGTATCCCTTTAAGAAATATTTTTGTTCGAAAACCAGCAGTGAAAATGTGAATAGAAAATAATAAAACAATAAGCCACTGAAGGACACATGTAATTTCACTACAGTAAAACAGCATTTGTAAGCACAAAACAAATTTGACTCTTGTAAAGTCACTGTAAAAACTTAACATCTAACTTTTACAAACCATCAGCAACAGCAAAATGCTAAAAGATAATCATTTCTTTTTTATGTACAATAAATAGTGGAAATCAGTGGAAATGACACCAAAACTGTGAGATGGTTGTAATCTTTGAAAAATGTTTATTTCACTTTATATTTATATTATAATCTAAATATTAAATGTAATAATTCTTATTTTATGACAGCTTTTCATTTCTAAACATATATTTATTGTCAGTCTGACTTAATAAAAATGAATGATGATGATTATATGATATTTACAAGTCAGTATTTATGTGACATTAAAATCACAAAAAGAAAGTTTAAATCTGATCATTTTAATAAAAATCAATCTCTGGGACAAAAAAGTACTTGTAGTTGAAGAAAACAAATATATATCCTACCTTCTAAAATTCTGGGGTCTTTAAGATGTTTTTAATGTTTCTGAAAAAAGTATTTTATGCTCACCAAGGCTGCACTGATTTGATCAAAAATACAGTACAAATGGTAATATTGTGAAATATTACAACAATTCAAAATAACTGTTTTCAATTTAAATACATTTTAAAAGTGTAATTTATTCCTGTGATGCAAAGCTGAATTTTCACTATCATAACTCCAGTCTTCAGTGTCACATGATCCTTCAGAAATAATTCTGTTGAATTACTGCTCAATAAACATTTCATATTATTATCCATTTTTGAAAACAGTTTTTCAGCATTCTTTGACGCATTGACAGCATTCTTTTAAATAGAAAACTTTTGTAATATTATAAATGTCTTTACTGTCACTCTTAATCAATGTAATGCATCCTTACTGAATATAATATTTATTTATTTATAATTATTTCTTATTTATTTAGTGAATATACAATTTAAACTCCCAACTGGTTGCAGTAAATTCGGTCTGTCTTCAGTCTCATAAATGTAATTACCGACTAAATATGTTGAAATAAACTTTGGGATCCATGACTGGTCCTTGCTCTGGGATTTCATAATGCACAAATTAAGCACTGGATACATCGATTTAATTTCCATGAAACGCAGCTGTAATCTGATCTAAGCAGTGAAACGTTTAAAATTGTAGGTTTCATTTCCACAGTGCTACACACATACATGCCGACACGCATAAACATACGACACAGATGGTCCTCTCTGGGATGCTTACATAAATCAATCTAAACCAGCACAACATGGCTGCTCTCAACCTGAATCAACAACAAACCAGACAAGCAAGAAACAGAAACAGACCGAGAGAACGACAGCGAGACGGGAACGTCATTTGAGCAACTTCTTAGTAAATAAAATGGTAATTGGCAAAGTCTCTCCGGCAGACAGATACCAGTATGCTGCCATTATCACGAAAAGGGAAAATAATGAGACGAAGAGAAAAACAAACAAATCAGCAGAAGCAGCGCTGCAGGGCCGAACGGTAACTGGGCGACTGCCATGCAGCTCCTGGAAGAGGAGGAAGAGAGATGAATTGGAGGATGTTGAACTGTGAACTAAAGCGCCGCAGAGCCCGTGAGCGACGCAGCCTCTATGAGTGGTCTTCATTTGAATGAGAGGGGCCACAGGAAAATGTAGGTGTGTTGAAGGGAAGCCAGCGAGAGAGAGCGGTGCCTCCAGCATCTTTCATCCATCCTCTTAATGGACATGTTCTCCTCTCTGTGGACCGAGACTCACTCTTCATTGTACCAACTACACACACATATTCAAACATACACACGCTGCTTTGTCTGCAAGAAGGAGAGTTATACTTCACTAATCTGAGTGCATCAACAATTAAAGCAGAATTTCAAGTCAAAATGAAATCAAAATTGACCCGGTTTACTTTCTTAATTGTTATTGTGCATGATTAAACCGCGCACTGTAGGAAGTGCAATATAATGCATAGTTAAAATCTCAGTTTAAGAACAACTATTTGACCCTTATGCAAAAATCAAATCAGAGGTTGGTGATTGTTGCTATCTTCTAACAGCTTTTACCTCAGCTGAATACATTAAACTTGGAAAAGAAAGAAAGAGAGATAGAGAGAGATAGAGAGAGAATGAAAGAGAGAGAGCTCTATACGCAATCAAGAAAAAATTCCAAAATATTGAAATGCCGCTTACAATTTGGAGTAAAATCTTTGATAGTGTAATTCAGCCCATAGCGCTGTATGGAAGTGAGGTTTGGGGTCCACTCAGTGATCAGAGCTACACTAGATGGGACAGACATCCAACAGAAGCCCTACACACAGAATTCTGCAAAATGATTCTAAAACTACAAAGAAAAACACCCAGTAACGCATGTAGGGCAGAATTAGGCAGATTCCCATTGATTATCAATATGCTTAAAAGATCCCTCAAATTCTGGATGCATCTTAAATCAAATCCCACAGAATCGCTACATTTTAAAAAGCGCTACAAACCCAAGAACTGAACCCCGAAAAGAGTCCACTCAGTCAGCTAGTTCTGAGACTTACTAACCTGACTAACTCTACTAACACTATCCAGTCTCAAACCAGCACTGCTTCTCATCCAAACATCAAAATAAATCAAATTATCAAACAATCTAAAAATACATATCTGGAACATTGGGATCAAGAAACTAAAACACAAAGTAAATTACAATTCTATCGAACTCTAAAATCAAATTATGAATTGGAAGATTATCTCCAGAGTGTCAGAGACACAAAGCAGAGACGGATCCTGAGCAAGTACAGGCTCAGTGAGCACAGTCTAGCCATCGAGACCGGCAGACACAGAAAGAGCTGGTTACCCAGAGAGCAGAGAGTGTGTGCTCACTGTGAGACAGGAGAGATCGAGACAGAGACACACTTCCTCCTTCACTGTCATAAATACATATCCATAAGAAACCTCTACTTCAACAAATTCACCAACTTAATAAAGAACTTTACAGCCATTAGTGAAACAGAACAAATAAAGATAGTATTAGGAGAGGGACAGACAGCAGCACTTGCTGCGAGATACGTGTGGATGTGCCACAGCCTGAGAGACAGCAGGTGAATGTGTGTGTGTCTGACCTCAGTGTGTTACCCTACTGTCCACCACAGTGATCCGAAGTATGTATGTGTGTTTCTATGTAAGTTAAAGACTGTGGTATCAAATGTTCACATGTTATAATTTGTTACAGTTTAATACTTCTAAGATGTTATAATATTCCATTATATTACTGTGATGTTCATTTAGTTATTAATATTGTTATTATCTTATTATTTTTATCTTTTTGTACATGTATACTAAGCTTTGGCAATATTGTAACATTTACAGTCATGCCAATAAAGCAATTTTGAATTGAATTGATATTGCAAATCAGAATAAAACATATCGCCCAGCCCTTCCCTCAAGAGTCAAAAAGGCTGATGACCACTTTTGTTGTTATATATTAAAAGATGAGAACTATTGCTTAAAAAGATTTTTTTAAACAAATAAAATGAACCAAAATAAATTATTTTCATGGTCATCAAGTATTCATCACATGGTGAAATAATCTCACCGTGTTTCTGTGTAAGTTAAAGACTGTGGTATCAAATGTTCACACGTTATAATTTGTTACAGTTTAATATTTCTAAGATGTTATAATATTCAATTATATTACTGTGATATTCATTTAATTATTATTATTGTTATTATATTATTCTTTTTATATTTTTGTACATGTATACTAGGGGTGCTCCGATCAGGATTTTTGAGGCCGATCACCGATCATAGAAGCAGTATCTGCCGATACCGATCACCGATACCGATCTTTTTAAAGCCTTCTTTTTATCA